AAAGAATATATTCAAGATCATATAATATTTCAAGATCTCTCTTTGAAGTCTTATATATGTGTACAATCAACTTTCAAGATGAAGAATTATGAAGATTCATCAACAAGTTAGATAGAAGTTTTAATTTGAGATTTTTAAGATGATATAGTGCTCAAAATATCCTCTAAACATTTTACATAAGTGTCATGATCACTTAAGAGTAAAACATTGCATGTCCATCACTTAGAAAATATGTTTTTATCACTTTCACTCAGTGGTAACCAGTTACAGGGTTATAGTAACCGGTTACAGGACTTCACGAAATAAAAATAAAAATCATGGTTCAGTGGTAAGCGGTTACAGCTTTTGGGTAACCCGTTACAGGCATGCATATTTGAAAATATATATGTTATCGTACATGTGTAACCGGTTACCGCTGAAGAAAAATTCAAAAAAATTATGTTTTAGATGGTTGTTGGATGATATCTCTTGGGGTCCAACCATTCCATTTTTTTACTCATTTAGGGTGTAATGGAAGGGGGCATTTCATATATAAATTTCGTTTGCACTAAAATCATAACATAAGACATATCATTCAAAATTTCAAAAATTCTTAAGTGTTGTAAAACTTTGAGAATTTACATATTGCATGAAACATTGTTTAGAACTTTCATATTCATCATTGTTTCAGCATATATTGAGCACTAGATCTGACTATAAACTTCCTATTAAAATCTTGTCTTAGTATCTTGATAACCATTATGTTATTCAAGAATTGATTATACTTTGTAAAAAATCAGATTTTGTATAAGATTAATCTTGCATTTCAAGATTGTTGGAGCAAGTGTGTGCATTGAAGAGGATTGTTCTTCTTGCACTTAGTGTTGAAGATATTAAAGGTTTTAAAAGCCTTTGATCTCCCTATAGATTAGATAGTAAGGAATCACATTTGGTGTGATTAGGCTTGCACAATTATTCTAAACTATAGTGAAATCTCTTCCGTGTTGACAAGAGGACTGGAGCACTCTCGATCTGTGAGGGAAACCAGTACACATCCTGTGTTCATTTACTTTCCGCACTTTATTGTTTTCATCACCATAATCAGAAAAATAAGAACTTTAAAAAGAAGGGGAAAATTGACCATCACCTAATTCACCCTCCCCCCCCCCCCCCCCCCCCTCTTAGTGCATTATTAACTTACAGAAAGTCCAAGAAAAACATCTCATAAAGCAACCCTTTAGGTTTGAGTTGTAAGCCAGTAATAACCATGTTAGGCATGAAGCCCTCATTGCTGGAATGAATCTCACCAAAGAAGTGAGAGCTTTAAATCTCTGAGCATGAAGCGATTTCCAATAGATCACTAATCAAGTTTAACGAAAAAGGCCCAATTCATCAAATACCTCATGAAAGTATAGGACTTAGCCAATACAAATTCTTTGAAATAATTTATGTACCTAAAGAGTAGAATGCTTGGGAAAATCTCTTATCAAAACTTGCTAGCACCAAAAAGCCAAGCCATAACATGATAATGGTACAAGAGACCTAAGTCATTCCCAACACAAAGAAGGGGAAAGTCAACTCTATAGATTTCTTTGACGCCCCTAAACTTGATGGCCCCTTATAATGCGCTGTCTGGAAATAGAAGAACATCCTTTATACTAGGCCAAAGCAAAAAAGATCAGAAGGTTAATAACAAAGTATACCATGGTAGAAGAAAGTCTAAACAAGGTGGGAAGGACTTCCCTTATACTTATATGCATAGGTTAGGATGAGATCTCACTGGTTCTCATAGAAGTTCTAAAAGAGTTATGCGAAACCCATATCGGCAGACGAGTCTTCACTCACAAGTTACTAAAGACCAATTACTATTGGCCAATCCCGATGAAGGATAGCGCAAAATTTGTTATAAAATGGTACAAATGTCAAAGGCACTCCAATATTCAACATACACCAGCCGAAATTCTCCATCCTATGCTGGTCCTTTTGTCATTGGGACATGAACATTTTGGGTCCCTTCACCTTAGCACTAGGTCAACTAAAGTTTTTTCTTGTGGAAGTGGATAACTTCACAAAGTGGATATATAGAAGCTAATGTTATTTTTAAGTCATAACAAAGAAAGTATGACGCTTTGATTGGAAACATAACATTTGTAGGTTTGATTCACCGAAGAGTATTGTCTGAGACAACGGACCTTAGTTCGCTAGCTTAAGTGTGGTGTAATTCTGCCAGCAATTAGGAATTCAAACGAAGATCATTTTAGTTGTTCTCCCGTGGATGAATAGGCAAGCTGAATAAGTTAATAAAGTGATCCTTTATGGCATAAAAAATAATTTAGATGACGCCAAGGGTATGTGGGCCGAACAACTTAGTGAGGTATATTCTCTCTCCTTGATTTTATTTAAAGTGATCCAGGTACTGATCGTAGTAGCATTACCTTATCTTGATAGAGTTAACCTTAAATTAAACATAAAACACATTAAAATGCAAAAAGGAGAACCTATTGTACTCCAAGAAAATGAGTAAGAAAACAACGAAAATACAATACAATAACAATTAAAAGCAATCTAACTACTATTAAAGAAAAAGATTAAGGCATGTATTAACTCACAAAATGTGTGTTAACACTTAGGTTGAGGTTTTCTTTCCAAATTAAGTTTAGAAACCAAATATGTACTAGTAACATTAGTATAACTTCCTCCATCAATAATTAAAGAACATATATTTCCTTGCACTAGGCATCTTGTGTGAAAAGTGTTTTCTCTTTGAATTATATCCTCCTCTTTAATTTGACTTTCTAACATTCTACTCATCATGAGTAATTCTCCACTAGGTATTTCTTCTTCGTCTTCTTCAAACTCCTCATCATAATCATCACCCTCTTCTTCAACAATTTCTTCATTTCCCCCCCCCCCCCCCCCCATAATCTTAGTTATCTTTATTGGACATTGAGAAGCAATATGTCTTTGGCCTTGACACTTAGAACACTTAACACTTTTGTTAGTTGAAACTTGAATAAGGAATAATAGTGTTCCATTTGTTTTCAGATTTGGCTTCCTTAGATGATGAAACACCTTCTTTCTTTATTTTGTCCTTCCAACTTTGAGAATTGAAAGTGGTCGTGCTACTACTTCTTAGGCCCTTTATTTTAAATTGTTGTTCTACTTTAATAACTTGATGCACCAGGTCATCTTCTTCTACATAGTGATGTAATTCACTATGTCACGATTTAGACCATGAAGAAATCTAACAATGATTGCTTCATGATCTTCTTTCACATTGGTTCTTATCTTTGCAACATTCATTTCTTTGTAATATTCACCAATATTTTTAGAATCGTGAATGAGTTGTTATAATTTATTATGCATGTCTCTATGATAATAGGAAGGCACAAATATTCTTCTGATGATTATTTTTATTTCCTTCCAAGTGTTGATGGTTGGTTCTTAATATCTTCTCATTTTTTTGACAATTTGATCTCATTACACCAAGACATATTTTGTAAATTCAATGACAACAAGCTACACTTTTTGAACATTAATATAAGTTTTACAAGAAAATTTTTGTTCACTTTTTGTTTCTCACTCTAAATAAGCCTTTGGGTCATTTTTTCCCTTTAAAAGTTGGAACTTTAATTTTTATGTCACTCAATTTTTCCTCTTTAGACCTTCCAACTCTCATTCTCCTTGATATTTCCTCCTCGTTAATATTATTTTTGTAGATTTTCTAATTGATCAATCTTCACATGAATCGTCTCTATATGTCTAGTCACTATCTCTTTAATTTTAATTATGAGAGCTTCCAACAATAATCTATGATATTCTATTCGACGAAGACTACTTACCTTACCTAAATTTGACATGATTAATCATAAAATAACAACAATAATAATTCTTACGTGTTTACATTCAAATTTAATTTTTTTATATAATACACGCTCTTATTTTTTTTTCACTCAATTGTTTTTTTTTTTGTTTTTTTTTAAATCCAAATTCAATCATACAAAAAAGAATACAAATGATAAATTACTCATAGGTTAAAAATGAAAGGAAAATAAAAATAAAACAAGAGAGAAAATAAGACAAAAGAAATTAAAAAGAAAAACTAAAATGCGGCGGTAAATAGAGAATTATGAAGAGGCACTTTTTTTTCTCTTTTTTTTTACTTTTTTATATAAATGATTCAATACAATCTAATGGTAATAAAGGAAAGTGAAGTTTTTTGATAAGAATTGGTCATACACGATCTTAGCTCTTGATACAGAATTGGTCCTCGGAGGAAGTATTACAATTATTTTTTAGTTTCATTTTAGACTTGAAACTATCTATCTAATAATGTGTGTAGGAGTGGACAACGGACCGATTTAGACGAGTTAGGACCTAACCCAAACCACGGTTTACTTTAAAAGGTTTATTTCCGTCTAATTTCAAACTCAGTTTTTACGAGTTGGGTCTTGTTGGGTTGCGGGTACTTTCAAGTGGTTGGTGCGAATTATTGGGTTGGCCCTATTTTTAGGGTCAATAATATTTTCTGGCCTTTTGAAACAGTTTTAATATATGTATAGATTTAATAGTATATAAACATTCAAAATGAGTTTATATTACAAAATTTAATACTATGTAATCATTATTTTTATAACATTTAAATATAATATGAGATAGCCAACACATTGAATTCATCTTTGTAGAGTTTTCCCTTTGATAACAGTGTGTCATGTTTGCTCATCTTCCACTGCATGCTCTATGCTTTGATGAAAATTAACAAAAGAAATGAACTTAATAAAATAAGTGTAATATTCTTCCATCCCATTAAATAAATGATAACTTAGCTTTAGGAAAGTATCAACATGAGAAAACAAATGATAACAGTAACTAAAAAATTAAAATCATAAATATAACTTTAAAATATATGAACTAGATAATAAAACAATGAAAAAACTACAATCAAGCAATCCAAAAACAGCAACATCATCCTTAGATTTTAGCTTTTTTTATCCCTACATAATGTAATACATTCTGTTGATCTAAAAATCTTCATCCATGTTGAAGACATGTTGAGCAGCAGCATTCCCAGTCAAGCTATTCATCACAGAAGCTTTCTGATACTCTCCAACGCGCTTCTCAAAGAAGTTAGTTTTCCCTTGAAGCGATATCAATTCCATCCAATCAAAAGGATTCTCAGCATTATAGACTTTCCCACACCCAACTTCACACAACAATCTATCTGCAACAAACTCAATATACTTACTCATCAACTCTCCGTTCATCCCAACCAAAGCACAAGGAAGCGCCTCACAAATAAACTCTTTCTCAATTTCAACTGCATCCCGCACAATCATCTTCACGCGCTCCTCGCTCAGTTTCTTCCTCAAAAGCGAATAAATCAAACAAGCAAAATCACAATGAAGACCTTCGTCACGCGAAATAAGCTCGTTTGAAAAAGTTAATCCAGGCATTAAACCGCGCTTTTTAAGCCAGAAAATTGCACAGAAACTTCCAGAGAAAAATATACCTTCAACGCACGCGAAAGCAACGATTCTCTCAGCGAATGAATCGGACGAATCGATCCATTTCAACGCCCATTCAGCTTTCTTAGCGATGCAAGGAATTGTATCAATGGCGTGAAACAAACGATTCTTCTCGGTGTTATCGTTGATATACGTTTCGATAAGTAGACTATACATCTCGGAATGGATATTCTCGATCGCGATCTGGAAACCGTAGAAGGCGCGTGCTTCTGAAACTTGAATTTCTTTCATGAATCTTCCGGCGAGATTCTCCAAGACGATGCCGTCGGAGGCGGCAAAGAAGGCAAGAATGTGGGAGATGAAGTGGCGTTCGCCGTCGGTAAGGGATTTCCAGTGGTGAAGATCTTGGGAGAGGTCGACTTCTTCTGCAGTCCAGAAAGAAGCTTCTGCCTTTTTGTACATTTCCCAGATTTTAGGGTATTGAATTGGGAACATACAGAAGCGATCTGGGTTTGGAGCTAGAAGTGGTTCTTCTGGAAAAGCAGGCATTGTTTGGGAGTTGGATAATTGAGAAAAGTGATTAATTGAAAAGAAAATGATTCTGTGAACTAGAATGAGGGGATGGAGGGGTTTATAAATAACAAAGGAAATGGGCGAAAATAGAGGCGGGTGAATTTGAAACTTTGGGGATTTTTTAATTCGAAGAAGCGTGCAGGAGAAGATGGAAAGTGCGCGGGAGAAGATGAAATTTTGGGAGAGAGAAATGGTATCTCGTAATAATTGTTATTAAAACCATGCGTTGGATTTAAAATTTGAAACTTTTCCTATTCGGTGCAAAATTTGAGTTCGTAATTGTTTTTTGAAAAGCAAAAACAATATAATTAATGAGAACTTGAATTGGAACGTTGTTTTTGTTGCCGTTTTGAATTGTTAACCGAGAGGTGCAATGGCAACGACACGTCTATCCAATTGTTCCATTTATTAATTTTTATTTGTTTCTTTATTTATTTTTAATTATTTTTATTTATTAATTAACAAAATACTATACATGTATGAGAAAAACCTTTCATATTTTCCAATACGTGGTCTCCAACTTGGATGAAATCCCTCAAAGATGTGGATGTGGATGCGGTCTTTTCGGGATCAAGAAGACTCTGTGATATCCGGGGGTGTGGTGAGTTAACCCTACGAGAAGGGTGTTCGCGACGTCTTTGTGTCATTGTAGGCTCTCCCCGACAGCTGTGGGGTTCTCCAAGGGGTCTTGTCTTGGTCGACGAGAGGAGTGAAGGATGCTCACGAGGTCCTCCCGACCGGCGACGAGCTTCCCCGTGATTCTTGGAATTATCCCCGTACAACAAAGTCGTGTTTTCCCAACGGGTGAGGTTACTGCCCAACATAGTTGAGGGCAGGCTCGGTCACAGGCCTACTCGAGCAGTATAGTTGGATTGGGCCAAGTACATGCTTAGTCCAGAACATGAGCCCCCCAAGTCGTTGCTCCTGATGAAGGAGTTGTGACTTAAGTCCAACTTCACCTTATGGCGAGCATAACCTCGTCGGGGATCTTTTACTGCATCGAGGGAGATGGTCGTTAGGACACGCGTGACCTCGAGCAGAGGTTGGAATTGGCTTGATAGGGAACATTTATGTTCTTCCTCGACTCACGGAGAGAGGAAACCACGTAGGGTGTGGGCACGTGGCATGACCTTTTGGATAGTAATGATGGCCTAAGGAGTAGGGGTCATTATTATTAGAGCGCATAGGTGGCGAAAAGAAGGGCGGTCGATGGTATGCTCGACGCAACGCTTCGTATTCCTTGTCAACCCTATATATAGCGGCTTGGGGCCCATTTCCCATATTTCCACTTTCTCTGTTGCCTGTGTCATTTCTCTGCCTTCCCATCGTCAACACTGCCGTAAGATCGCCACATATTCTCTATCTACTTCTTGATCAAGTAAGTGTTTTCCTCTTTGAATGTTGTTTACAATTAGCTTTTTTGATGATTCTTTATAGAAATTCGTTACCCGGGGGTTTCGCTCAGGGCGTTCATATATTCATGCGTAACATTTGTGAATAGGCTCGTGATATTCATTTCTTCTCCGTGAAATTCATGAAAATACCTGTGACATCCATATGTTCCCCGCGAATTTCATGAATTATGTGCGGGGAATTAATATACTCCCCGGTGAATTCATGAATTTGTCCGGTAAATTCGTATGTTCCTCACAGCATTCATGGAGATGCTCGTGATATTTATCCCTTGCATATGTTACCCATGAAAGATATGTTTCGTTATTATCATCGTTGTGCGATATTACGAGATTTGTACAAGTTTCATGTGTTAATCGTGGGTCGTGTATGTTCCCCACTGCTCGAGTGATCGTCAACCTACTCTGGGCGCAGCTATCCCCTTTCACTTGTGCTGCCGCGGAAGGGTGGATGTGATTTTGCTGTCGAATTCACTGGTTTCCTCTACTTTACAGGTGAAATAGCCAATACTCCCGAGTCATTCGAGCCCATAGATGTCTAAGACACAAGCACAACCGAGAAAGGGCTCCATTTGGTTGACATGGTCAATGACCCCGCGTTGTCCTGGGTCGGGCCAGAGCCTCGAGGGATAGCTTTGGTTTATAGTTAAGCAAAAGGGAAGCCTATACCACTATCGAGCATGGCGGAGACATGGAATGTTTTCGTCAGAACTTCACGATCCTGCGACCAACTCACATGGCTAGGATATGCACGAAGTTCGAGGAGGACTGCTTCCCTGTGTATGAGGTCGTCTTCAAATACTTGGGGCTTCGTCTCCCCTTTAATGATTTCCATATGGGAGTGTTTAACAATTTGAGCCTGGCACCCTCTCAATTACATCCTAATGTGATCGCCTTCCTCTGGGCTTCCGAAATCACTTGTCAGCTCCTGAGGATCGGAGCGACTATTCCTTTGTTCTTTAGGGTTTTCCACCTCCAACGGAAATCTAGGGGTGGGAAACATAGTTGGGTTTCCTTGAAACAGTCGAAGAGACTGTTTATGATGTACATGGATTCTGTTCGCGATTTCAAGGATAGATGGTACTTCGTGCAACCTTCATCTCAGGCGGTCGTGGATATCGTGTTCGACCTGGTTCAAGTAGTAGATGAAGACGAGGAGGTATACTATGACGAGGAGGGAAATCCAGAGATTGGGTGACTTTCAAAATTCCTCATCCACTGGTTCTCATGCCACTACGAGCATAGTCTTGGCCATTACCACACCCCTGCTGGCAGTATGAGTCTCTAGGATGAAGAGTCATTCGGTGTCCTTAACTGATTCGTTGACGGTTTCTTTCCCTCAAGGTGGGTCAAGAGGGGAGGACATGACATCCTTGATGAAGATGGATAACAGACGTTTAAGGCGCGCCCGATCAACACCAAGGCGCTCGTGGAATGTCGAACCTACGGGCAAGCCGTGAACCTTCTAGGTTTTTGCCTCGTGTGATTTACTGCATTTTTACTTCTTGAGTTATTTGTTTATGTCCTTCTAACGAGACTAACCTGGGGATATTGTTTTTTTTCTCGCAAGTAACATGGTGGAGCATCGTAAACGACTGTTGAAGCTGACCTAGGAGAAGAAGAATCATTAGAGGTTGGTGAAGCCGCACCAACCCACATGCCTTGGTTCAGTCTCAGATCTAGTCAGGGATGGTTCGAGTGGGTCATCGGGTACCCGCGATGCTGTACAGCACACGGTTGTTCTGAGCAAGAAGAGAAGTTGTCCAAAAGGTAGACTTGCAAGCACAGTCGAGGAGGGGTGACTGTTCTAGCCTTCAACCATCCCCCTTGTTTTGTGGAAAAGGATTTCTTCGAGGGTTTCCCTCTGACTATGTCTGATGTTGAGTCTGACATTATCAGACACCTCGATGAGGAGGGTCGAAGGAAGCACCTGGATTCCAAGATGGTCGGTTTGATGAAGGTCGCGGAGATGTTCGTTGTCCTTGCAAGTGAAGGATCTAGCTCTTCTGGACTGGTGAGGGAATTGGAGTCGGAGAAAGCGACTCTTCAGGCGAAGACACAAAAGTTAAAAAGTGCCCTCGAGCGGAGCGAGGAGAAGTTTCTAGTGCAGGCCGACGAGTTAATGAGGGAGAAGTAAAAAAATGCCAAAGCTTATGAGGAAAGGGATTCCATGTTGCTTGAGAGGGAACGGTTGGAAAAGGAGGTCTCTGATATAAAGGATGCAATGTTGCATGTGGATGAAGAACCTGAAGGAGTCGCTGACTTGCATTCTTGGGCAGAGCTAATTGCTCGGATCCAGATCCTTGAGTCAGATTGCATTGACGCTTTGACTGACGGCTTCGAGTGTGCACTGACCCAACTGTCCCTGCTGAATCTGGGGCTTAACACTGATGGTGCTAGAGTATTGTCCCAATTCATTGATGGACGGGTTGTTCCCCCTCCTGATTCCCCTGAGGTGGAGGTCAAAGTGAGCACTCCTCGGAGTGATTAGTATTTCTGATATTTTGGTTGTTTGTATTCGGGGCATGCGTTCCTGTACTTGTTGTAATATTCAAACAACATCACCCTTTGTGGTCAACATTTATAAATGTTTCTACTTTGTTGTTATGCCTTTATGTTTTCATTGATGTTCGCTAGCATCTGTTCATCGTTGTTTTTTTTAATGCTTGCTAGCTATTTGTGCATCATTGTTTTTTACTTATTTATTTTGTTAAAATCTATGATTTTCATGAGTGGAGATTTACGCTCGACCTTGTTGTGGACGACACATGTTGGGATGTGTCGAGGGGGTGGAGTAGGGATCCTTGGAATGAGCTCAAGATCGCAGTCGGGATCTTAAGCTCGTGGCGTGAACTGTCCACCGCGAGCTGGGTGTTCTGCATGTTGGGTGCTTCAACAGCAAAGCTCAATTGAGGTTTCTTTATCGGGATAAGGATCTATTCAATAAATGAACAACAACCCGCTAGTGTTGATGTTTGGAGGTCATGTCCGTACCTTAACATGCCTATGTGGTCGAGCTCGTCCCGTTGTTGGTTGGAGAGGATTGGTCACTGCTAATGCGTATAGTAGGATAAGGACTTAGATGTAATATTGTTTCAGTTTCGTAGCGTTCCATGGTCGAGGTAATGGTTCTCCATTTAAATTTTTGAGTTAGTATAGCCCGGTGCCTATAGCTCTATGGATGCGGTACGACCTTTCTCAATTTGCAGCCAACTTCCCTTTGCGGGAATCTTTCTGATTTCTCTGCAGGACTAGACTGTTGAGTTGGAATTCGGGCTTTATGAATTTGTTGTCATGGCGAAGGGTTATCTGTTATTTTAGTGTGGCATCGCTAAGAGCTTCTCCTAAACAGATTTCCTCGACTAAATTGAGCTCTTCTCTTAGGGCCTCGTCGTTTAGTTCCTCGTCTAAGAGGGCCTCAATTCGTCTGGATGGTTCCAAGATTTCTACGGGGATGACAACCCCGGTGCCATAGGTTAGCCGGAATGGGGTCTCGCCCGTCATCGAGTGGGGTATTGTTCGATATGTCCATAGGATGCTATGCAGTTCTTCGACCCACCCCTT